CGGGCGCGGTTCGGCCCCGGCGGGGCCCAGCCGGCGCGTCCCGCGTCCCCGCGCTGGGACGGAGGAATTTGCACAGGCTCCTCGCGGCGGGGGAGGAAGCAATTAATGCAAATTCCTTGTTAAGTAAACACGCGGGGAGAAAGCAGCGGGGATTAATATCCTGTTAAACCAGTTAAGAAAGGGCGCTGGTAACGGTGCCCCGGCCGTGCTGGCCGTGCGCTCAGGGAACAGGCAGCAAACGCAGCCGGGCGCTGGGCTAGTTCCTGGGGGTTAAGGGGCCACAACCGCAGCAAAGCGCGCGGCCCTGAGTGCTGCATCGTGCTCTGTGGAGCCGGTCGGCGTCTCTGCTCGCGGCAAGACGAGCTGGGGCTGAAAACCTCTATGGGTGCTAAGGACCAAGGCGGGTGCAGGCCCAGACCTCGGGCTGTGCATCCTTGCGGGTGCACAAGGGGAGGGAAGGAAACGGCGGTTTCCTCTCCTAGATCTGGGAACGGGGACCTGGAGCTCCGCTCGCCGTCCCCCTGGGGCTCCAGGAAGCAGCACTTAAGGAGAGGAGCAGCGAGCAATCGCAGCACGCTGGATATCCTGAAACCCTTCCCTGGGATTATCTTCCAAACACGTGCCCTAGGAGAAACTGCACGACCGGGATCTGGCCGGTTCCAGCAGGGAACGGAGCCAAGTGACTTCCGAGTCCAAAACATCAGATTTTGCTTGTGTGTTTGCTTGTTTTTAATCCTTCACAAAGGAGGTGCCCTTTCAGAAGACATCCTGCTGCAAGGTATCCACGTGTTTCACACGGAGCTCTGCCATCCAGCGAGACCCCGGCTGCGCTGTCCGATCCCGCACCGACGGCTACACCGGGCTCGGAATGGCCTCGGCTGGTCCCCAGCCCCAGATGAGGCCGGTGCCAGCCCGTGCCCTGGGCGAGAAGCTGCTGCTTGTGCCGATCCCGAGCGCTCGCGGCTCCAGGCGAGAGGGGCCGGCGGCTCCGTGAGCTCCCAGCAAGGGGGAAAGCGGCAGGTTGAGGCGGCGCAGGGAGCAAAGGAAGGGACTCACCCAGCAGCGCCTGGAAGAGCTCGCTTTGGAAGATGTGCGAGAGCTTCCCGATGGAGGCTTTCAGCTCCTGCTCCTCCGGAGACCTCAGGGTGCTTTGGTATCTGGTCAGGATTTCCACTGCCCGCTCGGTGTCTGGGGGATGAGACAGGAGGAACAAGACGTTAACACCAAAATCCAGATGCCCGTCACCAGGGCAGGCTTAGGGGCATTGCCTTGGAGCTGCAGCCTTGGGCTGACCTCAAGTTCCCTTCCAGCTCCAGATTTTTAAGAGAAACGGGGACAAAAGCACCTGCTTGGAAGAGCTTAACACTGGTCTTCCCTTCCAGGGAACTTCCAGGCACCCCAGGGACGTCGGTGAGCCCAGCCAGCCACACCATGGGCTGCAGAACAGCCCTGCTGCAAAGCAGGACAGGGGCTTGAAGGAGGTTTTGCCCGAGGCCAGGCCCATGCTAACTTAGCTCTCCACCTCCACAGCCCCCGGCAGCGTGAGCACAACGGCCATCTCCCCGGCACAGAAACCCTATAAGAGCTGGACCTATTGCACAGGGTTACCCTTGCACGAGGGTCTGCAGTGAAGGGGACAGCAGCGGGTGACACCTGCCCCGTGTGCCTAGTGCAAAGTGTTGCAAACAACCCACACAACTTGCAAACCCCACGTTTCCATAAGCTGGAGCGTGGGAATTGCTCCACACAGTGAGCTGGACTTGGGTCAGCAGGAGCTGCTCGGGGGGTACCTCCAGCTATGGAAAACGTGGGAGATGTGAGGTCTTCGGGAAGAAGGATGGAGGGAGGCTGGCCGGGCTGGAGAGCTGGGATGAAGCGGTGCTTCGGATAAAGCTCGGGATGTTGCCGGGGGGGCTGTAGCTGTGGGACCACCGCTGGCCTGGCAACTCCAGGAGATCTCCACCCTTCTCCGGGCAAACGGCCGGAGCTGCCAGGGCAGCTCCGCAGACGGGAAAAGCCGATTGCAGCCCCAGATACAGCCCATTTCTCAAACAGGAGCAAAGCCCCGTGGACTTTGACCAGTGCCAGATGTGACCCGGCGCTGGCGGGAGGGGAGCTCCCAAGGACCTTGGGCCCGTCCCGGCCCCATCTCTGAATATTTCCCTTTGTTGCCAGCAGACAAAGGGCGTCTGTGCGAGGCGGCGGGGGAGGCGTCCCGGCCGCGCCGGGGACTCATCTCCTACCCTGGGAACTCATGCAAAAAGGACGGCCTTGCTCGTCCCGGGGAATCCAGGTCACCGAACAAGGGGGCCTGTGTGCGCTGGGGCCGGGGCGAGTGTCACCTGCTGTCCCCGTGCTCAGCCCCGTGGTGGCACTTGCTCCTCTGCAGCCCAAAGGGGAAGGGTCCCGTGGGTGGCAGTGGCCTGCGCTGATCAGGGCAGGGAAAGGCGCCTGGGGAGGTGCCACCGGCCCCAGCGCACAGGGATGCTCCGAGCCGGACTTGGCTCAGCACCGGGCTCCACGGCAGCTCGGGAAAGGCGGGGACCTCCCGGAGCACCCGCTCCATGGGGATTCTGGGCATCCTCAGGCTGGTGCAGAGGGTTTCCTTTCACATAAGAGCAGATAGTGGCTCCAACCGCCACTGACATCCCACGAGCCGCGTTGAGTCATCTTCGCCGGGTCAGCCCTGACCTTAGCAGCAGCCGCTAACGCAGCGGGAGGAGACATGGAGCTGCCAGGCCCAGGTGCCCAGGGATAACAACGCGCGCACGGAGATCGCCAACGCGTGCACGGAGATCAACAACGTCCCAGCGCAGGGTGGAGTGCGCTGGGTGCTGACCCTGCGCCACCTGGCACCGGGTGACACCGGGTGGGAGCAGGGGAAGGTGGCCCTGCACCACCAAACCCGGGAAACTGCCCTACTCCCAACATGGGCAGGGGGACAGGAGCCCCCTTCCTGCAGCACCCCTCTTGTCCAGTGGGAAGGAGCGTGGGACACCCAGGGCACCGGGAAGGGCTGTGTCGCAGTGACAGGAGCCACCCGCACACCCGCGACCGCGGCCACCCTCCCCACGGCACCCAAGGGCGCTGCAAACTC